ACCTGACTACCTACCAGACCACCCCAACCCAACCCGAAGACCCGAATTTCGGGTTGGGGGGGGTACGGGTTCCATATGTGTTTTCTCGATGTTCCCCGACCCCCCCCCCACTGGAAATGGAGGGCAAATTGAGGCCTTCGGGTTGGGTTGGGGTGGTTTGGTGGGTGGTGACGACCGAAGAGATCCGCGCGGAGCTCCGAAAATCTGCGCGTCTGTCGCTCGTCCTCGCTCGAGCGGCCATTGCCGGCACGCTGTTCGGCTTCGTGCGCGCACCTGGCCGCAGGGTGCCCCGAGGCAGGCTCCTCCTCGGTGGCCCTCGCCGAGAAAAGATGCAGACGTCCGAGCGATGCCACGGGCGCTGTGTTAAAACGGCGCGAAGATCGGGACAAAATCGGATCGGGATAACTCGAAATCTCTGAGAATCGGCGGGTTGGGAGGATGTATGGGGCGCCGCGGCCGCTCCGGAGCGTTCCGGAACGCTCTGAGAGCGCCCCGGAACGCTCTGGAGCGATTTGTATCCCGATCCTAGCCCTGTTTGATGTGTCTTCCTCGAAAGCCTGGGATCTGCCTGTACATCCGGCCGACCTTCTCAGCGTTCCGAAGCGCTCTCAGAGCGTTCCGGAACGCTCTGAGAGCGCCGATTCTCAGAGATTTCGAGTTATCCCGATCCGATTTTGTCCTGATCTTCGCGTCGTTTTATCCTCGAAGCCTGGGATCTGCCTGTACATCCGGCCGACCTTCTTGCCGCTCGGCCCGGACACGGTCAGGTGTATCCGCGAGCAGGGCCCGCAGGGGCACGAGCAGCAGAGGCCGCACTGGCAGCACCCGCAGCCCGTGGACGCCGTGGCGACCCTGTGGGGCGGCTCCGAAGGGGGTGGCTTGCAGAGGCCGACCCCAGAGGAGGAGGAGGAGGAGGAGGAGGAGGAGGAGGAGGAGGAGGGATGAGTAGGAGGGGAGGAGGAGGAGGAGGATTGGGGGGAGGACAAGCTAGGTGCGCTCGCGTCATATCTGACGTCCTACCCCTCCCTCCCATCCCTTACCATGGCGCTGATTTTCTCTATCCGCGGACGCGTGTCGTAGCGGACCTGTGGCTCCGCGCGCACGTGCGTAGTGGGTGGTGGTGCGCGTGCGTGCGTGCGTGCGTGTGTGCGTGGTTGTGGTTGTGGTGGTGGTGGTGGTGGTGGTGGTGGTGGTGGTGGTGGTGGTGGTGGTTGTGGTGGTGGTGGTGGTGGTGGTGGTGGTGGTGGCGGTGCGGCGCGGTGGTGGCGGGCGGATGGGCGCGCGAGAAGAAGGCCCGCGCTTGGGCGAGAACGCCATCCTGAACGACGGAGGCCAAACACCGATCCGAAAATGAGGCCCACGCTGCAGCGGGAGCACGATTCGGAACGATTCGGGAGCAGAAATGAGGCCCGCGCCTCAGCGAGAACAGCATTTTGAAAAACCCGTTTCCCGGGAATCCTGTGTAAAAAAACAATACGCGGGGGGGGGGTCGGATATCTTCGGGACGCCATCAGGGGAAGTGGGAGAGTATTTTTCATATGGTGTAATTGTGGAGGAGGAGGAGGAGGAGGAGGAGGAGGAGGGGATGAGGATAGGATGAGGTGAGGAGGAGGAGAGGAGGAGGAGGAGAGGAGGAGGAGGAGGAAGGAGGAGGAGGAGGGGGAGGAGAGGAGGGGGGGAGTGGGAGGAGGAGGAGGAGGAGAGGAGAGAGGAGGAGGAGGAGGAGGATTAGGAGGAGGAGGAGGAGGAGGGGAGGAGGAGGAGAGAGGGGGAGGAGGGGGAGAAGGGAGGAGGAGGATGAGGAGGAGGATGGGGAAGAAAAAAGGGGAGAGAGGGGGATGTGGGAGGAGGAGGAGAGGAGGGGAGGAGGAGGAGGAGTAAGGGAGAGAGAGAGGAGGGGATGGAGGAAGGAGGAGGAGGGAGGGGGGGGATAAAAGGGAAGAAGCCTTGGCAGCTGTCTGGGGTTCGACTGCATACGAACCTAATTGCTGATGGCACGTTAGATCGGTGGATCGACGGGTCGCCTACGGGGCCCTGGCTTTTTAGCCTCTCGGCCCGCTGCAGCGCGGGGCCTTCCCGAAAACAAAATTGTTATGGAAACGGCAGGGACTTAGGGCCGTCTGGCCAATCGCCCTTGGCTCGGGGCGTGTCCCAGTGTAGCAGTATTCCCGCCACCGCCTCCCCCGCCCCCTACCCGCGCTCCCCCCCCAAGTTCCTCTATCTAAAGCTGCTGCTCGCTCCGTCGTTGTGCACGCGTCTGGTCCCGAGGCCCAGGTTCCCGTGGTGCGTCGGACCAAAAGGCCCACAAGGGAACAAACCGAAACGGGCGGACGCCACGGGAATCAGGGGGAGAAGAAAAAAAGAGGCACCCTTTGGCGCCTAAATCCCCGAGACAGGTGCTGAACGGCTTCGCGTAAAAGAAAGCAAGAGGAACCGCCGCGGGTGGTGGTGCGTCGCAGCGGCCCATCGCCTTGCGACTGCTATCCCTGGCTAGCTCTCTACTTTCTGTCATCTCTATCTCTCCATCGCCAGCTGACGTGGTCACAATGCTACCTGTACTTTCCTCACGAGACCTGATAGCGGCGGTGCTCAGAATATCTGCGCTGCCTCTGCCGCTCGGAGTTTGTCCTCGACTGCTTTCCTGAGGTCCCCATTATGCTTGATGCGGCTGGTCTTGACGGGCGGCTCCTGGCTTCCTTCGCGAGAGGCGTTGATCTGGTCCTCCCATGAGGGTGTCCGAGGGCTGCATGCGAGGCTGTTGAGCGTCGACTAGAACTTCCATCTCTATGGCTGCCCCCCTTCGCTGTAGGCCTTCTTGACTTTGATATGCGTGGCGATGCCCCCGAATCCCTGCGCGCCCGTCACGTGGGTCGACGAGCAATCTTCCTTCAGGATCGTCTTGTTGGTTTCGTCGGACCTGTCGTTGAGCCCCGTCTCCAGGTGGAAGTCTACGCCGATGTGGAGGCGCGGTGTCCCCAAGTCCCCGCAGTTCTCTCCTGGACCTTCTCCGCATAGGTTGTGTCCGCTGCTTCCGCAGCGGTCACTGCTGAGTACCCGCCGTAAATCAGAAAGCGGCCCCCTTGGCTGCCTGACAGTTGCCTGATCATCTGCGCGTTGTTGGGCGACGTCTTCTGCTTCGGCGCTTTCTCTTCGTCGCTGTGGTCGCATGAGCTTGTAGCGCAGGCATGGTGCTCTGCTCGCAACTGCTGCGCGGCATCATGCACCCATGTTCGTGCTGATGATCATGGATCTGGAAGAGGTTGCTACTGTTCGCCCATGCTCTCGTGGCACTTCGAATCGATGAAGGATTTGTTGCCCTTGGCCCACGAGCTTCTCATTGCCCTTGTCCTGGGTGAACGACTGCGACCGAGTGGTTCTCTGTGGGGCTGATCTTTCCAGGCGAATCAGCACGTGTAAATCATCATGCCGTCTGCTGAAGTTCTCTGGGTTGTACTTCCGTTCGTGCTCGTTGTCGTGATATCGCCTGTCGCTGCACATGCATGGTGCCTGCGCTAGCACCCCTCGTGCTGGCCCTGCGCGTCGTTTGGGGGCTCTGCATGGGTATCGATTCTGGCCTGCACGGTCCTGGCTGGTCTGATCTCCATAGTCGTCTGCGTGCAAGGCATCGTGGGCGTGCAGCATGGGGGCGCGGTCGGCGATCCACTCCTGCCAATCAATGTTCTCGTACTGCATTCCTCCAATCTGTGGCGGTCGGCTCGGTCCGTCATCCCATTGTGATCCTGTCATCCCTGTGCGCGGGGCGAACTTGTTTTTCTCCTTCGGTGTCGTTCCGAAGCATCTGCCCTCGCCCTCCTCCCCCATCTCGTCCGTGCATACGTACTCGTTTGTGAGGCTGTTGTCGTCGTCGGCTCCTCCGTCACCGCTCTGAGGTCGGGCTGCTCGTCGGGCGCCTTCGGGGCTCAGAAGGTCTCGATGGGTACTGTGTGCTGTGAGCCCCCCTTCACTCGTAACTCTCGGGAGCTCGAGGTGTCGATCGATTTCCAACGTCCCAATCTCGTCGTATCCGGTGTTGTCCTGTTCCTGCTTGGGGAACGTCTCCAGCCTGGCTTCGCGAATATTGTTGGAAAGCATATCCCACCATTTTTGAACCTTGGTCCCAGGCTTTGCGCCACTCCATCTCGTCTGTCTGTTGGGTCTTCTCCCCTTCTTGTTTTGAAAGCTCCAGGCGTTTGTAGTCCCGTGTGAACGCGACCATCATCAGGTCGCAGCGGGCATGTGGCGTGAGCTTGCTGTTGTGGGTCTTGGCGCTGTGCCCATCCAGTTTCATGTAAATCGGCATGTGGTCGGTCAGGTGCGCGGGATCGTGTAACTGGAGACGTCGCGCCAGGCCAGCCGCGGGGTAAGGTTGGCGAACCCTGCACATGGCTTTCGCAGGCAAAAAGCAACATGCTCTAAGTTGCTTGTGTAGGCGCTTTTGTAGTAGGCGTTCCCTGTCCCCATGTAGGTGTCTCCGATCGCCAAGTGGTTGTCATCTGTGAGGTCGCTCCTCTGCATGCTGGTGGTGTTCTCTAGGGCGGGCTCCTCTGTGTCGCTAGACTCGGTGGCCTCGATGTACTTCTTCCCTGTTGTGTGTCGGCGTATTCCAAAAGCGCAGTTGTAGTCACCAGAAATGATGGGGAGGCTGTTGTGACCCCGCTTGTCTAGCTCGCTCTGTTTGACGGCCGTGCCCCTCGGTGTTATACAGATGGGGAACGACGCCACGTCTATTGTGCTCATACTGACTGTAATCATGCCACTCCGTCCTGTGATTCCGCTCGTCGTCGGAGTCGTAGCCGCTCTCGGGACACTCCCACTAAGTCCCTTATTCAGTAGTACTGCCAGTCCGCATGGATTGGGGACGCCAGCCACTTTCCTCCACCTGTGCTGGATACATTGTTGGTTTGGCAGCTGGTACTTCGTGTAATCCGTGCCTCGCGCTGACCTTCCCGTCCCAATGGCTCCGTCGACGTTGCCGTTGGCTATCTGCATCGAAATCTCCTCGAGGATGATGAAGTCTGCCCACTGCACATTGTGGTACACTATCCTCTTGTTGCTTTCCTCGGCGGAGAGGCGGGTGTGGCACAGCGAGCAATGTAAGAGGAAGCGTGGGGAAAACATCAACGCGGCGGGGGTGCGGTAGCGGACAGCTGTGTGAGTATTCGCGGCGCCGCCCTGAGCGGCCCCGTTCCCGCCGATGCGCCCTATGTTCCACACGTCAAAGATCTGTGTTGACTGTGGGTGGGGATGGGCCGCTCGCGGGTGTCTGGGCCGTGGCGGCGGCTGGAGGAGGAGGAGGAGGAGGAGGAGGAGGAGGAGGAGGAGGAGGAGGAGGAGGAAGAGGTGGATCGCGTCGAAAAAAAACAGGACGGAAGGCTTTTGGACGTTTTCGGCCCCTGGCAGCCCTCGTCAGCCCTCGGGACCGACCGAAACCGACTCGGGACGAAAAAACGGTCCTGGGGAGAGGGTCGGGACCTCCAGGGATCCCGTATGGAACATCTCAGGACGTCGCCTGTTTGGGACCGGCCACACATCTCATCCCGACGGCACGTTTCGTGCCTCTAGTAAACCGAGCTCAACCCGCGGCCTCACATCGGGCCCGACCGCGTGTGCCACCGCCACCTATCTCGGCACACTACTCACACTCAATCGTGCCCCCGAAGGAGCTCAGCGGTCTGCAACCCCCGCACCCTGGGGGGCCGGCGAGGACCTCGACGGAGCTCGCCGCCGCGCCCCGAGGCGGCCCAGCGAGGGCGGCGTGATGCCCCCCCCAGCCACAGCCGACGCAGATCGCAAACCACACCCTGACGTGACCACACCTTTTGTAGTGGCCGACCTGTTGCCAGAGTCGTCGAAGGCCTCGAACTTCATGGCCACGCAGCAACACTTGATGGGGTCGCGTATGGAGCCGACGGGAGAAGACCAAACAGGCCGGTGAACCCGAGAGCTGGGCGCTGCAACTCTTCGCACTGGGCGGTTTCGCCCAGTTTCGGGCCCCGGGCCCTCCACGGATCGATCTGGCTCGAAGACTGCCATAGAAAGACGGGGTCTAGGGCTCCAGACGCAATTGCTCGCGACGTCCCACTTTTGCTCGCAGCGCTGGATCTCAGGGAAGAAGAGAAACTTGGGAGGCCCGCTCGGAGTTCTTGGGTCGGCACTGGACCCCTCCCTACGTCTTGGCGGCGCGCACAAGGGCGTAGGAGAAGGGGGGAAGGCTTCTGAGAAGGAGGCTGCTTCTTAGAAGGCGCTGGCCCTACATGTACAGACAAGGCCCGAGCCTTCCAAGAGGTAGGGGTGCTTATAAGAAGTCTTCCCCCTTCCCCCAAACTCCCGTCTGCGCGTGGCTGACCTCCCCACATGCCTGGCGCCACGTGTGAGGAGCCCAGACGTCTGTGCCTCGACTCTGTCCCTGCGCGTGGGTCCCAAGACCTCTCGACCCCTTCCGCGAGGCTGGCATTCTCCGCCCCGAACCCCAAAAGTCTGACGGCATCGGAGCCCGAAGCTGGCCTTAGGTCGGGCGTGTCCCCCTACAGGCGGATTTTGGACTTAGTTTTCGTCGAAAATCTAGGGCGACGAGATCTATGCATATCCACTGCTCCTGGCCAGGCCAATCCTGGGCCCAGGAGCGGTGTATACGCCCTCC